ATGGAGAGAGTAAGCACTGAGACACCCTCCCTTTATTATTTGTTTATTACATTTCTTTGTAAGTCCGGTTATTATTTACAACGCCGTTATGAACGGCGGTGGACACAAACCCTCAAACACTCAGACTCAGCGTCATGACTTTGTCTGAATACAGAATAATGTGATGCAGATTCCTTCCTCTGCTGCACGGTGAGACCGTACGGCCTCTCTGTCAGGTTGTGGCAGGGACAGGAAGTGCCCACACTCAGCAGGAAGTGAGGCCATCTGTCTACCTTGATGAAAGGGTGTGTGGTGTTTTACTCTCTGCTGGAGCTCGCCACCCTGAGAGCGAGCAGCCGGCTTACTTCAGCTCAGACTGAGGCGAGGCGACTTTATTGATGAAGCACATTTCAACAACAAGACGATTCAAAGAGCTTCATGACAGAGGAAAGAAAAGAAACATTCATCTGAAAATATCTTCAAATCAAAATAATTTAAATGAAATTAATTTAAATTAAAAAAAGAAAGAAAGAAAGAAAGAAATTAAAAGAGTTAAAAAATATAATTACAGTGCAGAGTTAAAGTTTAAAATCTTCTTAAAGCTGTTTAATGAAAGGCAGCTGTAAACAGGTGAGTCTTCAGACCTGCAGTTTTCTGGGAGTTTGTTCCAGATATAGGGAACATAGAAACTGAACATACGGGGAGGGGACGCTGACGTTAACTAAATAAAGATCATTACCAACATTTCAAAGAACAAGCCAACACATAGGAGCAGTTCAGGGTTTGTAAATATGCTAACTGCTAGTTGATGTTAGAAACATATTCTGGAGAGAGATGACGGCTTCAGGTGTTCATGTTCCCCTCACCATGAGCTGCCATCAGATCATCTGATTATTATTTAAATGTCCAGAATATGACCTCTGACCTGCAGGAGCAATGACATTAGCATCTTCCCACCAGGAGTCCACCAGTCAGTGGAAGAGATGAGTCTCGTGTTACAGGCTGAGCCCCCCTCACATTAAAGGAAGGTGGCCATGGTGGAAATAGGCTAAATGCTAATGCTAACGGAATCAGCTTAAAGGAACTAAAGCTAAATGGAGAAGAGCTAAGCTAACTGAAGGCTGTTAGCATTGTTGCATTGAATCTTCTACAAGTGATGAAGTGTCTGTTCAACATGAGTCTGGTTCTGATCCAGGTTTCATCCATCATGAGTCTGGTTCTGATCCAGGTTTCATCCATCATGAGTCTGGTTCTGATCCAGGTTTCATCCATCATGAGTCTGGTTCTGATCCAGGTTTCATCCATCATCCATCATCCATCCATCATCCATCATCCATCATCCATCCATCATCCATCCATCTATCATCCATCTATCATCCATCCATCATCCATCCATCTATCTATCCATCATCCATCATCCATCCATCCATCTATCTATCTATCCATCTATCCATCTATCTATCCATCCATCTATCTATCTATCTATCATCCATCCATCTATCTATCCATCCATCTATCCATCATCCATCATCCATCCATCATCTATCCATCTATCTATCCATCCATCTATCTATCATCCATCATCCATCATCCATCTATCTATCCATCCATCTATCTATCCATCATCCATCCATCATCTATCCATCTATCTATCCATCCATCTATCTATCCATCTATCATCCATCATCCATCTATCTATCTATCCAACATCCATCTATCCATCATCCATCCATCTATCTATCCAACATCCATCTATCCATCATCCATCCATCTATCTATCCATCATCCATCTATCCATCATCCATCCATCTATCTATCCATCATCCATCTATCCATCATCTATCCATCTATCTATCCATCATCCATCCATCTATCTATCCATCCATCATCCATCCATCTATCTATCCATCATCCATCTATCTATCATCCATCCATCTATCTATCCATCCATCCATCATCCATCCATCCATCTATCCATCATCCATCCATCCATCCATCTATCTATCTATCATCTATCCATCCATCCATCCATCCATCCATCCATCTATCTATCTATCCATCCATCCATCCATCTATCTATCTATCCATCCATCCATCCATCCATCCATCATCCATCCATCTATCTATCTATTATCTATCCATCCATCCATCCATCATCCATCTATCCATCCATCCATCTATCTATCTATCATCCATCCATCCATCCATCCATCCATCCATCATCCATCCATCTATCCATCCATCCATCTATCTATCTATCATCCATCCATCCATCCATCCATCCATCCATCCACCCATCCATCATCCAGCATCTATCTATCCATCCATCCATCTATCCATCCATCCATCATCCATCCATCATCCATCCATCATCCATCCATCTATCTATCTATCCATCTATCCATCTATCTATCCATCCATCTATCTATCTATCTATCATCCATCCATCTATCTATCCATCCATCTATCCATCATCCATCATCCATCCATCTATCTATCCATCTATCTATCCATCCATCTA